GATATATCTCCTCAGGCAAGGAAAACACATCAACAAATAAACAAATGGGACTACATCAAACTAAAAGGTTCCTGTACAGCAAAGGAAACCATCAACAAAATGAAAAGACAATCTACTGAATGGGAGAAGAAATTCACCAATGATATATCCAACAAGGGGTTAATATCCAAAATTTATAAAGAACTCATACAAGTCGACATCAAGAAATCTAACAATCCAATTAAAAAATGAGCAAAGGACCTGAATAGACATTTTTGCAAAGAGGACATACAGATGGCCAGTAAACATATGAAAAGATGTTCAAGTCACTAATCACCAGAGAAATGCAAATTAAAACCCAATGAGGTATCGCCTCATACCTGTCAGAATGGTTATCATCAATAAATCAACAAACGACAAGTGTTGATAAGGATGTGGGGAAAAGGGAACCCTCGTGCACTGTTGGTGGGATGGCAGATTGGTGCAACCACTATGGAAAACAGTTGGGAGATTCTTCAAAAAATTAAAAATAGAACTGCCTTATGACCCAGCAATTCCACTTCCGGGTACTTATCTGAAGAAAACCAAAACACTAATTCAAAAAGATATATGCACCCCTATGTTCACTGAAGCACTATTTTACAATAGCCAAAGTATGGCTATTGTAAATAGCAACCTAAATGTCCATCAATAGATGATTGGGTAAAGAAGAGGTAAGATATATATATAATTATTCAGCCATAAAAAATGAAATCTTACCATTCATGACATTGATGGATCTAAAGGGTATTATGCTAAGTGAAATAAGTCAGAGAAAGATAAATATCACATGATCTCAATTACATATGGAACCTAAAGAACAAAATAAATTAAAAGCAAACAAATGAGGGCATATCCCTCCCTCCAGAAGTCTGGACATTTCCATTTGGGCTTGATGGTCTTGGTTTAGGAGCTCAAGTCTGGGACAATGGTGTGCATTCCTTGTACCATCATTCCAGTTCTGCTCTGGGTCTACAAAAATTCCTGGAGCCATACATATACCCTCTGATTTCCCCCTTTGTTAGTCATTTGTGGCCTAGAAAAGCTATACAAGAATCCAATGATAAAGGCAAAGTAGACTATAAGAGTGCAGACATAAATGGATTACCGACAAAAGGACCAACAGAAATCTCTGGTCAAAAGAAAGACTAAGTGATTATCCCAGAGGACCTCATTGTTTTCAAAAAGGACCTGATAATATGAAGCACCTTTTTTTGTAATTGTCTCTGACCTTTTTCTTAGTCCAGAATTCAAGATAGATAGTTTAGATATTTACCTGATATCAATCAGGAAATATATGGAATTTATATTCAAAATGTGTTTAGTTATATTTAATGATATTATTTTTGAGTTCCTTTTTCGTTAAAGCAGCTTTCATTTTTAGTACTGTAGTTTGATAATATGAATAAATAGAAGGTTTGTGCTGGTAGACAGTGTTACTAAATCATACCTAACATCCTTGGGCCTCTAGCTTTTGTTCAGGCTCTTTGAATTTGAGCAGAGTACATTTTTACTGTGAAACAGTGCAGTGAGACTGTGCAGTGAAATGAAAGGGAGTTTTTGGAGATGATAATGACTTGAAACATGAAGTTATAATCAGTGCCCAGCACAATGGAGCAGCTTATCTACAGAGTAGTAGTTACTTTTTATTGTTCTGAGGAAGATAGCGAAGACAGGGAAGTAGGGGAAATTCCTTTGAAAAATGCAACATTTCTTACATAAATGTCTAATGTATGATATAAAATTCTAAATTTCTAAAAAAACAAACAGACTCATTGATACAGAGAACAAACTGATGGTTACCAAATGGGAAATGGGTTAGGGGTAGGTGAAAAAGGTGAAGGGATTAAGAAGTACAAATTGGTAGTTACAAAATAGTTACGGGGATGTAAAGTATAGCATAGGGAATATAGTCAATAATATGGTAACAACTATGTACAGTGCCAGATGGGTACTAGACTAATTAGGGGGATCACTTCATAGGTTATATAAATGTCTAACCACTATGCTGTACACCTGAAACTAATATAAAATATTATTGAATCTCAACTATAATTGAAAAATAAAAAAATAAAAAGATGAAGTAAAATGAATAATTTGAACTAGACATTAAAATGGTTTAAGATTAGTTATCTTAGGACGAATATTTCAGAAAATATGCAGAATGGTAACCACACATTTGCTACAGAAAGTCCTCTAAACATTTCTTTTTATTTTGAGATTAAACAGGTGAGTTTTATAATCAAATGTAACAATTCTACAAAAACTCAGTAGTATTGTAAATAAATATTACTGCCTATCTTAAAGTCTTTCAGAGCTTTGGGCAGACAACATCGAAGGCATCAAGTATAAAGAACTTTTTCTGATCCTAAGTTCCAGTTACCACCAATGTTCACATAAAATGTTTTTTGTTTTTTGTTTTTTTTCCTACTGCAGTTAAAGGGCCATTGCTGGTCAAGTGAACAGGGGGTGTTTGGTTCTACAAGGTGTAAATCAAAGTAATGCAAAGCAAATAAAAATAGCAGCCACTTAATTCTGTGTGGCATTGCGTTCAAGTAAAGGACAATGAGTAACTTAAAGAAACGTGCGCTGAATTAGTGAAATCCTGTCTTCTTTTTTGGAGTTACATGAGGCAGCAGTACTAACTGGACTCTAATATTGCACTTTTGTAGCATAAATGCAACTAAACACATAGTGCTAAACACAGCATCAGTACCTACTTCAACCACATCAGGTTTACCTTTCAGTCTAGCATGTTGACTACAATCCTATGCTTCAAAAAGTTTTAATTATTTGACAGTTAAGGCATTACAGCAAAAGGTTTAAGGCTATTTTTATACAAGCATTCAATTCAGTTAGTACATTGATCTATCGACTACACTGTTCAAATATTCTCATTTTTGTGATATTAAAAACAGGAATTTCTTATTAAAGTCCAAACCATCAATAACAGGAAAAGTACAATATAAATTATCATATGAAATTACAATATTCAATTACAGATCAGAGTAGAATTTACTAATTACATATAGGTGCTTCGTTTTTGGTTTCTCATTTTGAGCCCTGGTTCATTCTTATTTTCATCTGCTACCTGCTGAGAAAAAAGATCCAACTTTTTAACTATGTATGTTTTGAGGTGTACATATTTCTTCTCATTTATCCCAAGGTGTTTTGAAAATCATTTTCATTGGTTTGTATCTATAAGACATCATGATTGCCAAGAGATTGGGCAAATATTAGTTTTATTTCTTAAGTATATGATTTAAGTATTCTAAGACCTTATTCTTGATTATGCAGAAGACAGAGAGGTGAAGAGAGAAGAGTTAGAACACACAAAAATGAAGCTTCCATAAGAGTTCCTGATGAAGATGGTAGACATAAGTGTAGTATTATTTTTCCCCAAGACATAAAACTTAAGAAACACCTTAGATGCCACACTGAAGCAATGGAGACATTTGATTTCTAATTCATATTTTAAATGCCTGTTTGCAAACGGCAAGGAGCCAGGCATGCTGCTTGCTATAAGGATTTGGCTTCACTAGCTCAAGTTTTCCACTCCACCAAAAGATAGGGCACAAGCCTTCTGTCCAATTAGGTTTGCTAAAAATACCACAGCCTGATTATAGACAAACTTCCCTGAAGTTGCTAGAAGCTGTCTTATGACTGAAGGTTTGAGAATCACCATACATCTTTCATATACTTTTTTCTGAGGATGGTATAATTGCTGGGGCCCTTAAATACAAACCCACTCTTTGGGTAGAGTCCTGGCCTGATCATTTGTGTGTACAAGTCCATCCTCAGTTGCATACTGGTAACCTTGGAAGAAGTTAAGAACTTCCTTAACTCCAGTATTATAGGCCAGGCCTTGCATTCCGACCACCATGCCAGGCTGTGGAGGGACATCGCTAAGATCAGCAGCTGCAGGGAAGTAGCCAAGACTATTGGGTGAACCTGGGGTGCTGGGATAGTATGCTGTGTAGTTCATGAAGAGCTAAGTGCCCGCTGGGTAGCATGCTGTGAAGGGCTGCAGTGTTCGTGGATCCAAAAGCACAGAGGGCTGATAAATGGCAGCTTCAGTAGAACTAACTGCTGCAGGAGCTAGAAATGTGTAGGAAGGAGGAGAGAGGCATGTAACTTACATGGCAGTGGGGATAAGCCATTTCGATTTAAAGTGCAACCCCATTAACACAAAATTCATTTCCTTAGCAGAACATCAAAAGACTTCAGTGCACCTGTCCTTCATTTCTTTTTGACACTTCTGTGCAGCCATAAAAGCTGTCTCCGCAGATTTCGCCTGGATAAAGGCATCTCCTGATGGGAGGCCCCGGTGATCCAATACCATGTGAACCCAGTGAGTTCGAATATCTGTGGAAAACTCCGCCAGAAAGTCCAGAATGTCCTCAATTGTGGCCGCAGAGGGAAGACCTCAAAGGCATATACAGTCTCTAACATTTGTGGGGGGCATAAATTGCTGACGTAGTACTGGAATAATGGGAGGGGTTGGAAGTAGAATGAAAA